AACTTAAACTGAAGGAAATAAGGTGGATGTGTGTGTCTATTTGTATGTACATACATTATGTGTGTATCTATATGTAAAAAATATTTGCTGATTTCATTTGTGCACTAAAAATATCTTCACCGTTTCTCAATTCTTTGTCAGGATGCAATAGTAGAATGAAACTCAGCGGACGGCCCTACAGACACATGGGAGTGCTTGGAACTTCAAAACTGTATGACATTCGGAAAACTATCTTTACTTTCACTCCACAGGTAGGTGGAACACACTGAAACGTACGTGGAGATGAGTAGAAATAAAAGAGAAACATTATAGAAATAAAGCATTTACTGGAGTTGGGATAAGTGTCAAAGAATACCATGTCCCTTGCACATATTAAGTGGCTCAGTAAACATTTATTGAGTTGAACTGAATTGAACTTAACAGCACAGAGTTATAATAAGTGATTGTGACTACCAAGAGTTGTCCTAGGTGTTGCAGAAACAGTGACTAGGGATTGTACAAATGTTAGAGTACTTACAAAAGTACCCCTTACTTTTAAAAGTTAAAATAAAACTGTATTTGTCCTTTATAAACAAAATACAATCTTTTTTATTCAGCTACTGAATTAAGTATTTTCATTGTTTGGAGGAGGGGCCCTTTTTACATGCATAGAAAACTTCAATATCCTTTTCTTTTTTTCCCATTTATTAAATTTCAGAATATTACAGGGGTACAAATCTTTTGGTTACATGAATTGCTTTTCTACTGCTTGAGTCAAAGTTGTAAGTGTGCCCATCACCCAGATAATGTACATTGTACCCGTTAGGTATGATATCATCCATCCTCTCCTCCCCACTCCCACCTGGATGATTTCCATTGAGTTTTACTTCCATCTATGCACATGAGTGCTGATCGGTTAGTTCCAATTTAGTAGTGAAAACGTGGTGTTTGTTTTTCCATTCTTCTGATACTTCATTTAGGAGGATGGTCTCCAGTTCCATCCAGATTGTTGCACAAGGTATTAATTCATTTTTTATGGCTGAGTAGTATTCCATGGTGTACATACACCACATTTTATTAATCCACTCATGAATTGATGGGCATTTGGGTTGATTCCATATCTTTGCAATTGTGAACTGTGCTGCAGTGAACATTCAAGTGCAGGTATCTTTCTGATAGAAAAACTTCTTTTCCTTTGGGTAGATACCCAGTAGTGAGATTGCTGGATCAAATCGTACGTCTACTTTTGTTCTTTGAGGAATCTCCATATTGTTTTCTGTAGAGGTTGCACTAATTTTGCAGTCCCACCAACAGTGTATAAGTGCTCCATTCTCTTCACATCCATGCCAGCATCTATTGTTTTGGGACTTTTTGATAAGAAGCCATTCTCACTGGGATTAGTTGATAGCACATTGTGGTTTTGATTTGCATTTCTCTGATGATTAGTGACATTGAGGAGCATTTTTTATGTTTGTTGGCCATTAGTCTATCTTCTTTTGAAAAGCTTCTGTTCCTGTCTTTTACCCACTTTTTAATGGGGTTGTTTGATTTTTTTTTCTTGCTGATTTGCTTGAGTTCTTTGTAGATTCTGATTATTAGCCTTTTTTTCCTCCCATTCTGTAGGCTGTCTGTTTGCTCTGGTGACTGTTTACTTAGCTAGCCACATGACTTTGCTAATCCACATATCATCTCTTAGCCTTATTTTTCATCTAAGAAGAAAAGCATTCACTGGGTAGTTACAGGGTTGAATAAAATGATGTATTTGAAAATAGTTTGTAAATTGTAGCACAATATAAAAATGTCAGAAATTATATGTACCAATTGACCACCAGATACTTTTGTAAGTATTAG